ATTCAGAATAAATCAAAAGCATAGAGATAAGATAATTTATTTTCTGCTCTTAATAATTGCAAAAGTACCCGAGTAGTAAACTCCGATCCGTGAAACTTTGTTCCATTAATGACGAACTCATGACACTCATATGCATGTTTGGGAAGTGCTTAGGCCGACTCCCAGTGCTTGGTGGCTATGACTAGTCGGGCAGAGTGTTTAAACGTAATGAGTCATCTGCTCGGGGAAATCAAAATTGACAAGAGGAGAAATACATATTTATAAATATTTTAAAATACTTGATTTTTTCTCGAGTATTATATTTATATCAGATACTACTCATCCTATATGATTGTTCTGCAGGATCCAGATCCAGATATGCATAAAAGGGATTCATGGCTTTAAGCTTATCTCTTACGCTCCAGGAATGGATCAGTCAGAACATCACCACCGGCTTGCCTTCGCCGCCGCCGACTGGTGTTTCCGCCTGCACGGCTGGCCTATTATGCCGCCGTTGTTGGGCGTCTACGTCTTCACCGACCGGCTTGCCTCCGCCGCCGCCGACTGGTGTTTCCGCCTGCACGGCTGGCCTTTATGCCGCCGTTGTTGGGCGTCTACGTCTTCACCGACCGGCTTGCCTTCGCCGCTGCCGACTGGTGTTTCCGCCTGCACGGCTGGCCTTTATGCCGCCGTTGTTGGGCGTCTATGTCTTCACCGACCGGCTTGCCTTCGCCGCTGCCGACTGGTGTTTCCGCCTGCACGGCTGGCCTTTATGCCGCCGTTGTTGGCGTCTACGTCTTCACCGACCGGCCGCCTCGTCCGCCGCCGACCGATGTCCTCGCCTGCACGGCTGGCCTTTATGCCGCCGTTGTTGGGCGTCTACGTCTTCACCGACCGGCTTGCCTTCGCCGCCGCCGACTGGTGTTTCCGCCTGCACGGCTGGCCTTTATGCCGCCGTTGTTGGGCGTCTACGTCTTCACCGACCGGCTTGCCTTCGCCGCTGCCGACTGGTGTTTCCGCCTGCACGGCTGGCCTTTATGCCGCCGTTGTTGGGCGTCTACGTCTTCACCGACCGGCCGCCTCGTCCGCCGCCGACCGATGTCCTCGCCTGCACGGCTGGCCTTTATGCCGCCGTTGTTGGGCATCTACGTCTTCACCGACCGGCCGCCTCGTCCGCCGCCGACCGATGTCCTCGCCTGCACGGCTGGCCTTTATGCCGCCGTTGTTGGACGTCTACGTCTTCACCGACCGGCTTGCCTTCGCCGCCGCCGACTGGTGTTTCCGCCTGCACGGCTGGCCTTTATGCCGCCGTTGTTGGGCGTCTACGTCTTCACCGACCGGCTTGCCTTCGCCGCCGCCGACTGGTGTCACCGCCTGCACGGCTGGCCTGTTATAACGCCAACTGATGCTACCTTCTTCACGGCTGGCTACATCGCTGTCACTACTAATAGGCATCAGTATCGTCAACACAAGCTGCCTACGTTTGCCATGGCTGCCGACTGGTTTCTTCACTTCCATGGCTGCATGATTCTGCCAGTGTTGATTGGCCTTATCTTCTTCACCGCCGGTCGTCTCGTCTGCTGCTGACTAGTGCCCTCACCTCTACGTCTGGTTTATACAGCTACCACTACTGATGGACATCATCGTCTTCCGTTGCCGACTGGTTATGCCGCCGCCGACTAGTGCTTTTATCTTCACAACTGCGCGTCTTCGCTACCAGTTTGCTTTTGTTGCCGCCGACTCGTGTTCACTTCCTCACGGCGATGCAACTTTGTCATCATGGTGGAGCGACTTCATCTTTATTATCTTCGGCACCGGCAAACTCTATTGCTGCTACTTCACAAGTTTTACTACTTCACCAACCACGACGTCTTTGTGAACCTCGACATCTCGGCATGCAATGCCATGATATTTTACTACAACAAGTGACTCTCCAATATTCAGGATTTCTACTTGGACACCTTCAACACATATCTTCAATCAAGCAATGACTACTCGACGACAAGGAGCTATAATTCTCGACTCTATGTTCAGTTGTTTCCCAACTAACCAAAGAGTCGGGGGCTACACAAATATAAGGCTCAAAATTTGACAAATTAATCAGCCAATGAGTCAACTCCAGGAGTCATTATCTTCATCTTTGCTTCGGAACAGACATTCTACTTCAACAACTTCAAATATTTCGGTTTAGACGAGTTGGGCAACAACATCAACTCTCCTCCAATTATTTGTCTTCACGGTTGGCCTACTACGCAACTGCCGATAGAGGATCTCATCGTTATCATCGGCTGCTACATCGCTATTGACTGGATCACCGACATCGTCATCTTCATCAACATCTTGTCAAGCCTCATCAACATAGCCTACTCTGCTGCCGTTGATGGGAAACTTCGTCATCATAGTCGGCTATCTCTGTTGCCGCTAATCATCATTACCGTCGGATGCGTTTGTCGCCGCCGATTATTTTCTTCATCTTCATGATTGGTGGATTTCGCCATCACTGTTGATGCGCGTCTACATCTTCATCGTCGGTTTGCTCTTGTCACCACCGACTGTTCTTTCGTTGTTGTTGGGCGCCTACATCTTCACTGCTAGCTGACCTGACTGTTGCCGACTGGTTTCTTCGCCTCCATGGTTATGCAACTTCATTACATTTGATTGGTGGCATCTTTACTACTACTGACATCTTCCGTTACTTCTGATGAGCAATTTCGTCTTCATGTTGGTCATTTCATCTCCATGCCGACTGCGTCAGCTATTGCCAATAGACAATTTTGACTATGACAGAAGGACAAGCTATATGCTCAGGGGCTCATCAACTCAAGCGTGAGGATTATATCTCCAATTTGGACTTGTTCCGGATACATTCCACGTGGATTCATAGTCATGAGTCTATTTTCTATGCTCAAAGACTGGACCAATTATTATTCCCCGTAAGGGCTATCAACCGAATACTTGCGCCAGTCGGGATTCAATTATTATATTTATTTTTGGAGTATCCCATAAGGGATAATCATTCAGATCAGAAGCTATTCATATGAGCTACACTTGGTCTATATTACCCGGAAGATTTATTACTCAGGAGCATGTTACATGCGTCATCCTTTAAAGGGTGTCGAAGGCATATTTTTTGGCCTAGGCCTAATATGTCTGCAGCCCATATTTTCAGGTGTGGCCTGTCACGTTCTTTTAGGGACTTAGGCACTTTTTGCTTAGGCCAAAGTGCGCGTGATCAAGTGCCCAATACCTTAAAATCCTTTTATACCGCAGTTACTCAACTTTTTAGGAGTTGGTACAATGCATCTTAAAAGGTGTCAAACAGTAAAGCTTTATATAGCTGCCCCGCTGACTTTTTAATATAGTCATGGTGCTGTTTGGGTTTTTAAGCAATTGATTGGATACAATATCATTGCTTTTTGCCACGTAAGTGTGCGTTTTTATTGACCAATATTATGGCTTAGGCTGATTATATATTGTGGTCATTTTCTAGGCGGTTGGTAAATCCTTTATGAGTTTATTTACTCGGATTTTACACCACATATGCCATATATTTCCAGGTGTGGTGAAACCATGTGTCTTCTAGGGACTTAAGTACATCTGTTAAAGCAGTGTGCGCATGGCGTATGCCCAATACTTTGGAAATTTCTTTATTCATAATATACAAGCTTCTTTATAGCTATTTTGCTATATCACTCATCATATTTTACAAAGCGGTTGGTATATCACTCGGATCATGTTATTTGGAGGATTCACACCGCATATGCTATATATTGATATCAAGTCACTTGGTTGATTACGATTATCAAAACCACTCGGTTGGTTGGATTATTTATTCCTTGACTATATGCTTGGTTTGTTCAATTAACCACATTGTCGGGGGCTACACCTATTAGGTGCATCTAGTCGGTGCACCTGACTTTATTTTCCAGCCCTCCACAGTCTTCAGATTTGGTAAAAGTACTCGGGAGACCATGACAAAGATGATTGAAGCACTCGGCTTTGGAGTAATCTGGTTCGAGAGAAGATTATCTTTTCGACTGCGAAGGTCTCAGGGGCTACTGTGGATATTGTGGGTACCCCATACCCATACGGCATGGTTATCCGACTAGTCATAGGGGATAACTTATATCTATGGAATATGTAATAGATCATGACTCGGGTATTACGTTTCCTTGTATATTACGGAACGGCCTAAAGTCCTGGTTTGATAATATTGTAAAGTAGATTTAGGAAACCGATACCGTATTGGTTAAGGTTTCTATCTTGTAATCCTGCCCCCCATCCTATATAAGGTGGGCAGGAGGCCCTCTAGGGGGCAGATGAGACAACCTGATCGTCAGATCAATACACACTCGGCGGATTCAAATCCCCAAACAGGAGTAGGGTATTACCTCTCATTGAGAGGGCCTGAACCTGTCTAAATCCTTTGTCTCCGCATCCATCCACTTTTAGGTCTCGTGCGCTACCCCGTTTTATTATTGCCGAAATCATGTTTCGACACACATACACACACATCCATTAGCAGCAAACAGTTAATCATCATCAGTCAGCTGCTGCGCTCGTCCAATGCCGTGCCCCAGCGTCGTCCACGTACATCTCTACTCTTATCATTTGGTGTACCTAATAAGAGTAGGAGGAGGAGAAGGAGGAGGAGAAGAAAGGACTCGCGAGAAGAAAACAAAAGAAAAGGCGAGGAAAAGAGAGAAAGGAACTCTCACAAATGGGGCAGGGGGCGCGCGGTGCAGATCCATCCAAGCGAGAGTACGTATAAAAACAAACAAAAAAACACAGGAGAGAGAGAGAGAGAGAGAGAGAGAAAGAAGCTTGGAGAGAGAGAGAAAGGAGTAGTAGTAGTAGAGGGGAGAGAGAGAGAGGGAGAAAAATATTGGAGAGGGGAAGTGGGGGAGGAGGGAGGGGTGGGGGCCCACCTCCACAAGTTTTACTTTTTCAGCCGCCCGGTTTTGTCGTCTCCTCCGTCCTCTCCTCCTCTTCCTCCTCGCTATTACCCCCCACCTCTTCCCCCTTCCCCCCCCCCCCCCCCTCTCCCTGTTCGTTGCCTTCTCCGTGCCGAACACCACAGCGCGCGCGCGGGGGGGCGGGTTCGGCTCTCTCGCGAGCTCTGCTCTCTGTCCCTCTCTCTCTCTCGCCGCCTCCTGCCTCGCACACTCGAGATTGGTGGGGTGGATTTGGGGGAGGAGGAGGTGGGGTGGGGTGGGGTGGTTGCTGAGGAGGAGGTGGTGGTGAGAGATCGGGCGGCGGGTTGCCGCCGGAGGAGGTAGAGGGATCCTCGGGGGAGGGCGGTTCTTGGGTCGGGGGACCCCCCCATGGCGTGAGGAGAGGGTGCCCTCCGGGAGATCTTGCGGGGCGGGTGTGTGGTGTTGCTAGCTGAGGCTGTTGGGTGGGTACCCCCGAGCGGCCGGGGAATCTCCTCCCTTCTCGAGCGACCGCCCGCGTCGCTCCGCCATGGCCGGCAGCGACGAGGTCAACCGCAACGAGTGCAAGGTGCGTGTGCTCTTCCTTCTTGAACCCCTTCCGCTCTCTCTCCCGCGGTGGCGTGTGTGTCCGTGTCTGTCGCCTCCGGATTAGGCCGCGGCCGAGGCGGTCGCGGTTGGGGTTCTTGATTTGCGCCGCCGCGCGCGCCCCGCTCGCTTTATGGTTTGCGGGGGGAAGGATCGATTGGGGCCGGCCTGGCCTGCGATTTGGCGGTCAATCGCTGCCTTTTCTTTCCCCTTTGGGCTCAGCCCCAATTTTATCCCCCCTCGTGCTTGCCTCGGCCGTTTTAGGGCGGGTGGTGAACTGTGGTGGTGGTAATACTGCCTGCCTGCTGCCGGCCGCAGCGGCAGCTACCCAACAAAGCCGGAAGAAACCCCCATTCACAATCACCGCGGCCGCCCGTGTTGGTTGGGAGCGTTCGCGCGCGCCAAAGCTTGCATCTTTGTGGCAAGCGCCTCTCGCATTGGGTTTTTTTTTTTTTTTGGGGGGGGGGGTTGTTTCTTTTTTGTCCGAGCAGGAATCAGCAAAGAAAAACATACGCATATGCACACCGATTGATTGATTGCTCTGGTTTCGCTTCCGCGATTGCGAGATAGTAGTAGTAGTAGAGGGTCGCTCACTGTGGTTGTGGTTGTGGTTGGTTGTGGTGCAGACGGTGGTGCCGCTCCACACATGGGTGCTCATCTCCAACTTCAAGCTGTCGTACAACATTCTGCGGCGGGCGGACGGGACGTTCGAGCGGGACCTCGGGGAGTACCTGGACAGGAGGGTGCCGGCGAACGCGCGGCCGCTGGAGGGGGTGTCGTCGTTCGACCACATCATCGACCAGTCGGTGGGGCTGGAGGTGCGCATCTACCGGGCGGCGGCGGAGGGTGACGCGGAGGAGGGGGCGGCGGCGGTGACGCGGCCCATCCTTGAGTTCCTGACGGACGCGCCAGCGGCGGAGCCGTTCCCGGTGATCATATTCTTCCACGGCGGCAGCTTCGTGCACTCGTCGGCCAGCTCGACCATCTACGACAGTCTGTGCCGCCGGTTCGTGAAGCTGAGCAAGGGCGTCGTGGTGTCCGTCAACTACCGGCGCGCGCCGGAGCACCGCTACCCGTGCGCGTACGACGACGGGTGGACCGCGCTCAAGTGGGTCATGTCGCAGCCGTTCATGCGCAGCGGCGGCGACGCGCAGGCCCGCGTGTTCCTCTCCGGCGACAGCTCCGGCGGCAACATCGCCCACCACGTCGCCGTCCGCGCCGCCGACGAGGGCGTCAAGGTCTGCGGCAACATCCTGCTCAACGCCATGTTCGGCGGCACCGAGCGCACGGAGTCGGAGCGGCGGCTCGACGGCAAGTACTTCGTGACGCTCCAGGACAGGGACTGGTACTGGAAGGCGTACCTGCCGGAGGACGCCGACCGGGACCATCCGGCGTGCAACCCGTTCGGCCCGAACGGCCGGCGGCTCGGGGGCCTCCCCTTCGCCAAGAGCCTCATCATCGTGTCGGGCCTGGACCTCACCTGCGACCGGCAGCTCGCCTACGCCGACGCCCTCCGGGAGGACGGCCACCACGTCAAGGTTGTCCAATGCGAGAACGCCACGGTGGGGTTCTACCTGTTGCCCAACACCGTCCACTACCACGAGGTCATGGAGGAGATCTCCGACTTCCTCAACGCTAACCTCTACTACTAGTACATATACAGCCCCTCTCCCTCTCCCCCCTCGCTGATCGTCGTCTCCAACACAAATACTCCTTATAGGGAAGATGGTAATTCAGCTTGACTTTGTTATAGTACCTACTACTACTACTACTACTACCTCCTATACTACTGCTGCTGCTTGGGATCGCAATGCCGTCGTCTGCTCTTGTGTGGCGAAGGAGAAGCTAGCTCCATGCTGTCTGATCAGCTCTAATCAAATGGTGACTCGGTTGCGTCGAGGAAGAAGAAGAAAGTCGTCCGTCGTCGTCGTCCTTGTTCCACTAATCATCGTTCATCCTTTTCTTTTTTTGTGGTTTGGATCGTTCTTTGATCCATGTTTTCCATGTTTTGCCTGGGGTCAGTGTAGTCAAGACAAGTTGAGGGTAGTTCCATGTCTGTCATGCATGCCTCCATTAGTACTACTACTGTTGTGACTTTGGTTGATGGAGAGAAGAAGCATGTTTTTTTTTCTTTTAATCTCGCATTCCATCCATCTTCTCCATGTACTCCAAAGAGAGGAAAGTTGCTATCTAACGTTATGTGTACAGTGATCGATCAACAAGGAGATTTGAGGAGGCATGCCCCTTTTGTTGCTGTTGATGTTCTAGTTTTATCTTCTTTCTTGTTAACAGGATTGGATGGTGCTCTCTTGCTCACTCTCAATCCATGCTTGCTCACTCTCTTGCTCACTCGTACTAGTCCTTTTTAGGGTATAAAGCATTTGCACGCTGGGTCGTCGTCGTCGTCTCCCTTCTGATCTTTTTTCTTTATTCCCTCCGTTTCAAAATGCTTGAAGACGTTGACTTTTTAAGCATATGTTTAACCGTTTGTCTTATTAAAAAAATTTAAGTAATTATTAATTCTTTTTCTATCATTTGATTCATTGTTAAATATATTTTTATGTAGACATAATTTTACATATTTTATAAAAGTTTTTGAATAAGACGAATGATCAAACGTGTGCTAAAAAATCAACGGTGTTAAATATTTCGAAATTGAGGGAGGGAGTATATTGTGGTTGTAATGCGTGAACTATGAATGCCCTCTGCTTCACTCCACATGGGTGTCGGTGAGTGTAAACAAGAAGAGGAGAGGAGAGGAGAGGATGGGGGCTCATGCATATGTGAGATTTGTAGTAGCGCTTTGAGGTGATAACTGTTTGTCCTTTCTCTCCCCAATGCCATGTGTCATTCTTTCTGTATGCGAAAATTGGATGGACAGCCAATTCTGTGACGGGCGTACTTGGATCCTGCCAGTATTACGGCGGTGTCTGTCGGTGGTAAAAAAAAAAGGCGCTAGGAAAAAGCGCTACGCAAAGGAAGGGGTGGCAGCAAGTCCACAGCTAAATGCGAAAACCACTACCCCGTGGAAGTGACGTCGTCTCGTCTGTGTTATTTTCGTCCCTGGTACGGCCATGTGTTGGCTGCCAGCCTCTGATAACCGTGCCAAACGTTAGTCGTGTCACAGTCGTGTTATTAGCTGCAACCATGATAAGCTTCACATCATTTAACGTACTTATTGTCCGGTAAAACGTGTGCTAGTAGTGCACGTAGCACCATGTTTAGGAAGGGAATGTAATGGAGTTTGTGGGGGTTTTGCCTCTTCTCTTCGATCCTGGTTGTCCTGAGCGCATCGGACGCTGGCTGCCTCGCGGTCGCGGGCTGGTATGGATGTGACATTATTCCGCTCCGTGCATGCATGTCACCGTTGCGCCGGGCCACGCTTTGGCTAGTCGTACCACTAGCATGTACTCCATCATCCTTATGATTCAAGTTATAAGTTGTTTTTTTTGGTCTCGCAACAAGACGTCGCACCAGAGCTAGCGCAGGCGAGATCCGTTGAATCACAGCGTGGCACGAGCGGCTAGCTACATGGTCGCCGTCGTAGTTCCACCACTAGCCCGTTGTTTGATTGATGCCTTGATGGGTGGCTCCTCCGCTCCCCGCGCGCTTAGCTTAGCCATCACAACGGTCGAGCGCACCTCTCTCCAGAGCCGGGGTAGTAGGTTAGTTCATGTGAACGTCCAAAAAAGAACAACTCGGATTGTGTAGGGGCTCAACGGTGAGATACTCCTACTTTGTGTCCAAAAACAGCTCGGATCGTGAATTCATGTACGTTACATCAAACCGGAGCTTACTGTTTTTAGTCTCTCTCCCATCTCCATTTTCATTTAGATTGTGCTCAAAGCAGGTACTTACTACTAGAGAGTAGAGACCAACCAATATTTATTTGAAGCCATCCAAGAAGAGTCCATATGAATATGGTCCCGTTCTTCTAATAAGAGTTGGATGGAAGATTTTTTAATAAGAGTTGGATGGAAGATTAAGATTTTCGTGGCACGCTTTTTAAACTTCTAAACGGTACATTTTATGTGAAAACTTTCTGTATGAAAGTTGTTCTAAAATATCATATTCTATTTTTTAAGTTTGTAATGATTAAAGCTTAATTAATTATATGTTAATATAATCTCGTTTTACGTAAAAAAATTTCATCTTTTGTCTTAAGAAGGAAAGAACACCGCCTATGTTGATCGTCGCACGGTTGTAAAGCGGGGAAGAAAGCTACTAGCATGGCAGGTATCATCAAAAGGCCGAGACTTTCTCGTGCACTTAAAGTCACGGAGTAGTGCAGCTAGCGGCCGTTGAAAATATTGACGCTTTGGAAAGGTGGCAGAAGTCTCCCGATAAAGGACAAACGACGCCTGCCTGCAGCTACCCTCGCTTTCGACTATTATTACGTGCACTGTCCCGGCTGCGCTCGAGCTGAGGCTGAGGCTGAGGCTGAGCTGAGCTAGCGTGGTGGCATCACGCGGACCAGACAGATGCCATATGCCACTCCATTTAATTATGCGTGTAAACCCTAGTAGTAACATTTCTATTTCTATGGCATTTTTTTCTTGGTGTTTCTCCTCCTCTCGCCGACTAGCCGAGCCTATTTGGAGCGTCTGTCAACTACATTGACAGTTTCTTTTAAAATCTTCAGCCGCTAAAAACTCTTCTATACAATTCAGATTTTAGGCTTTTAAAATTTAATTTAGAATATAACAACTTTTCTATATGTTCCCTTATCTAAAAATCACAATCATTTTTATTTAACTTCTTCGTCTATTTATCTTAGCTAATTACAGTAATTTTCTATTTAAGCTTACAATAATTTTAACTTAACAATTTTGTCGAAGTTTTTATATTTCCGGACAAAAATACGAGGAAACTGGAACTCTTGTTTTCTTTCTCTCTACATTTTTAGCCTTGTTTAGATTCCAAAAACTTTTGACAAAAAAAGTCAAATCAAATATTTAGACACATGTATGGAGCATTAAATATGGACGGAAAAAAATTTGCACAGTTTGCATGTAAATTGTGAGACGAATCTTTTGAGCCTAATTACGCCATGATTTGACAATGTGATGCTACAGTAAACATTTGCTAATGGCGGTGCGGGCAGCTAGCTAGGGTCCGCCCTAGAGCCGTCCGCGTGAGAGCGACACGAGGACTTGGCAGTGTATACAATCGTTATCGATTCTCACTGTACCTATATCAAGGCATTATACACTATATATAGTACACGTCCTTTTTGTTTTTTGACATTGTTGGCTGGAGCATGTGCAAAAATGTAAGCTAAATGATGATTACCCCAGCGCGTGTGTACTAGTAAATCCAACGTCTTAACGACGTTGCCGCGGGAGTAGGTTGACACGACGGCCGGGCGCGTGGTGTGTGTGCTTCGTGTCGTCACGGCAACTCGATCGATCGTCCGCACCAAACGACCCACACCCGCACCCAAAATCGAGCCGTAATCACGGCGCCGCGTGTGGGCAAAAACAAACCTCACCGCCGGCCGGAATGATTCCGGGCTAGTGCGCCCAATCATCCGCGTGGCCGACGATGACGCGACGCGCGCGACGACACATGGGGGCGTGGCACGGGACAGAGGCAGCAGCTAGCGCAGCGCCCGCGCGCAGGTGAAACGCGCGCGCGCCCCACGTGAAGCGGCCGCCGGTTACACGGCTCGCGCGGACGCCACGGCGATGCCTCGCGCGTGGTGGAATGGTGGAAACCGCGGCTGGCACGTTGGCTTGGCTCCCGGCCGGCGCGGGGGTTTGGTATGGTTTTGTGCTGGGTGGCCACCTGCCGCTCCAGACACGTACACGTACTACTCGTACGTATGGCTCGGCTTGTCTCGGTGTGTACTAGTAGTATTGTTGTCTCATCCTACGTCAGATAGCTATTCTCTTCGTCCACTTGATATAAAAGATTTTTTTTCTTAAACTAGCAAAGTATTCTCTCCTTCCTATAATACAAAGTGCTGTGTTGTGTTTTAGAGCGATTTGACACATCGTAATATTATAAATTTGAAAAACAATCTACTTATATTTGTAGATACGTCACATCTCTCTAACCTCCAAAATCCTTTATGTTCTGGACGGAGAGAGTTGCAGATATAAAGAAAATGATGTAAAAGGTGATAGGAGACGTAATAAACTAGTAAAAAAATGGATATATGGGGATTAAACCCGTATAAAAGTGAGTAGGTAAAAAAAATAATCTATGGCTGTGTTTAGATCCAGGGGTAAATATTTTTACCATATCACATCGGATATACGAACACACATTTGAAGTATTAAATATGGTCTAATAACAAAACAAATTACATAATCCGCCTGTAAACTGCGAGACGAATTTATTAAGCCTAATTAATATATCATTAGCAAATATTTACTGTAGCATCACATTGTCAAATCATGGAGCAATTAGGCTTAAAAGATTCGTCTCGCAAATTAGTCGCAATCTATGTAATTAATTATTTTTTAGCCAATATTTAATACTTCATGCAGATATTCAAACATTCGATGTGACTGGCTGAAAAATTTTAGGGTACGATCTAAATAAGGCCCCTATAAAAGTTGGTATACGAGGAATAAAGAAATGTCTCGAGATATCGCAGAAAATCTTTTATTTTAAAACAAATTTAAACACCAATAATCTCCAATGTCCAATTTTTCATCACAGAATAATAATCAAAAACACCTTTGATTTTACAATCTCCCTCTTAATGAACACATTGGCAAACCTTATTAAAAATATTTTTGTGTTTGGAAAAATAAAAACAAAAGTGGTAAAAAGCACACTGCGTACAAATGTACACATCGTGCTAAAAAATCCAAAAGAAAACTTCTCCCCCTTTTTAAAAAGAAAGAAATTCCCAATTGAACCAAAAACATGCTGTTCTCAATAACTCTCCAAAAATTCACCTTACTTCTCCAAAAATCCAAAAATTTTCACATTACTTCTCCCCCTTTTGACAATGATTTCATCAAACATAGGAATTATGTTTATTAATGTTCAAGAGCTTAGCATACATATAGCATATCAAGTCATGTGTTGCAATAAAAAGAAGATAAACCCATCTATAATATAACAAGCATGCATTAAAGTATAACCATGAACCACAGATTTTACAATTAAGCTTGAATCAACAATCAAAATTCATGATTTCATACGATTTATAATGCAACATCTTAACAAGCACATAGGTTGAAAAATAAACACTAAACACATATACCTATTGCATTTATCACTCTTTCTCAAATAACCTTTAGC